GACACTGTGTAACACAATGTCCACTAGTGTGAATGAGATACACTGATATGCTCTTTCTCACGCTAATAGACAGTATGTTATACATTTAACTTTAATTTTCTCAGAAATTTGACGTGTTAGGTCGATTTCGCCGCCGGATTCATTTTCAGTGATCAAAAAACACTTTGTTTATTCAAGTATCAGCATATATTAACAAAACATTTGTTCGCGTTGTAAAAACGTACTTTAACTTATATTTAAGAATAATAAGAAAAGTATTTTTTTTTATTGTTGCAGGTACATTGCATTGCAACATTTTTAGTAAAATAATAATTGAAATAAATAATAAATGAAATGTAGGATAGCTTGAAAATAAATAGATAAAAATAATTATATGTTAGTAAGAAACACAAGTGGTCTCGCGGACCGAGTGCAGGCGCTGCGAATATGGAGGTCTCGAGTTCAAATCCCGCTATCACATTTACGATTTTTTCAGATTCGGTCTCTTTCAATGGAGTTTATCGGTTGATCAACGAGCTGAATCAGGCTTCTAGAAATTAATTCGAGTGAAATCTCGAATTAATTCTCTTCCGATAAGACGATATACCACTGATTTTCTTTTTTTTGTTTGTAGTAATTCCACTTGGATTCTAGGGGATAGATCTGATCTGCGTTTGGTAAAAATCTGTCGGCGCTTCTAACGGCAGATTTAGTCTGTATTTGCTACTGTTTTGTTGACAGTTTTGGTAACAGATATGATGTGTATTTGGCGCGATTTTGGCGCCAACAAACGATCACCAAATCTGTTCTGGATTTGGTGCGTCACTTTGGCTTTGCTTTGCTAGTGGCAGACTTGTTATGATTGTGATTTCATTTTGACATCTCACATGTTTGACAGATATGGTCGCCAAACCATATCCTAATGAGGACACAGATGGATATTGATTTGGTCTACAAATTTCGCCGGCGGTTGGCGACAAAACCGCGACATCTCGCAACCAAATTGTTTGCTGGGTATATATATATATATATATAATTGTTCTATATAAGTGATATATTCAGCAAACACATTACATAAGTCGGCAGATTGATAACAATTACACGCAATGCTGCCATTAAAAAGTATTATCTTTTTACTAGTTATCTATTTTTGACAGATTTTAGGTTATAGAGTAGTAGACCCAGTTACTGTGCCTGACTTAATTACTGTATGTTTGCACTTAAATAATGATTATTAAATAAATATTAAAAATAAATATTACGTTTAAAAAGAAAATGTAATATTATTAGTGTTAGATAATTAAAAATATTTTTTTAAAGTGTATGTAACAATAGTGACGAATTTTTTCAAGTGTTTCATAAAAAACAATAAGAAATGGTTTTATAAAAATAACAAAAAAAGTAATTATTTACACGACTCTCGTTAATTCAATTGTAAGTTTTATGTGAAGAGTTATAGAAAAAACGAAAAGAAGTACTTTAAAAGCGTTCTTATTAATTTTTAAATCATATCCATTAATACTATACGACTTGAAGCTTGTTTGCGTTAGTGTGCCTCTTCAAGCTGATGTTTTTTCTGACCTGTTTTGCTGTGGCACGCGTTTGCATCACTTGACGCATAAAAACAAAACACAAAAAACAAACTAGGTAGAAATAAATGTGTTTTTTAAAAAATAAATACTTATACTTTTAAAACATATTTATTTATTATTTAAACAGTTACTAAAATATGAGCTGCATCTAAAAAAATATAGCAAGAAAGTTATGTTCAAAGCCTAAGAGGCTCTTAGGTCTGGAACATTCATTATTGCAGCTAGCAGATTTTTTATATTTTTGTAAGTGTGCCACATAAAATATAATATACAGTCTTCGAAAAGTATCGGTCCCCCCTAATATCTTCAGTTAGAATGCATTTTGGAGAAAATGTCCAATATCAAAGTTGTATGGTTTCAAGCGAGGAGTAAGATGATGACCTTGACTTTGATCTTGACCATGTCCTTTAAGGTCATTTCAAGGTCAGCCTTATTTTTTTAAATGGAACGCCCTACATTTTATTGCACATTTTCATAGCTTATCTCGAGAGCTTTCCAAAACACTATAAAATAAAACATTTTTTCATTAAGTACTTTTTGAGTTATAAAGGTTTGAAGTTAACAATTTTTTGAAAATGTAAACTATCTTGTAAAATATTACTTAGTTTTCAGTAATCATAACCTTAATACTTTTGTGCGCGCAATGATGAGACCAATTAATTGGTTTAAAGAAAATACATTAATCAAAAAGTGTCAGACCCCCCTAATATTTTCAGTAAGAATGCATTTTGGAAAAATGTCCAATAGCAAAGTTGTACGGCTTCAAGCGGTTATGCTAGTAGGCTACGGCGGAAAACTGCCCGAAGGTGATCGCGAGAAGTTGCTCGAATGCGTGATGTCCGAAGGCGTTAATGGGAATCTGCCCGAAAGCGTTGGCGGGGCCGATCTTTATTCTCTCACTCTCGCAGGCACCAATGTACAAACTCACACGCCACTCTTGTGTGGACCCACACGCCACTCTTTCCTTAACTGGCCGGAATCACACGCCACTTAACAAATTGTTAATTTCAAACCTTTATAACTCAAAAAGTACTTGACGAAAAAATGTTTTATTATAGTGTTTTGGAAAGCTGTCGAGATAAGCTATAAAAATATGTAATAAAATGTAGGAAGTTCCATTTAAAAAAATAAGGTTGACCTTGAAATGACCTTAAAGGACATGGTCAAGATCAAAGTCAAGGTCATCATCTTACTCCTCGCTTGAAACCATACAACTTTGATATTGGACATTTTCTCCAAAATGCATTCTAACTGAAGATATTAGGGGGGACCGATACTTTTCGATGACCTTGTATAAGAGACACAGTAACTGCGAGCACACAATGCGAGGCACACAGTAATTGTGGACACAATCTGGGACAGGCACACTAACTGAGAGCACAATAATACATCCTTTTTGTCTTGAGGGACACACTAACTGCAGGAAAACTTAACTTTTTTATTTTATTAAAAGTAATATAAAATTGTAATATTTTTTTAGTTAAAAAAATACCTTGATAAAAAGAGTCTAAAAATAGAGTATATATTTTTTCTAATATAAAGTAAAGTTAAAATATTGTGTAATTAATTGATATCTAAGAAAAGTTTCTTAATGACACACTAACTAGGTCCACTACTCTATGTTGTTACAGAAGAATAATCATGACAAAAAGAGTTTAGATTTGAATTAGAAATCAGAGCAATTTGGACGTATAGCTTTGATTTCTTTTGAATTATCTTGTTTTATATTTAGAACGTGTATTACAATTTATTATAATAGAATAAAAAATGTTCTTTTGTAATTCTCATGTAATAATTACTCCAAAAACCGTGTATGTTATGTCCCCGAACCTAACAATTACACAGGCTCTTAAAAAAATGTTCTGAACTCGAAATGGGAAACATGTTGTCTTACGTATTTTGAAGTGCTGAATCCAAATCTGAAGTCAAAATAGGGGGTTTTTCAGATCGATCTTCTTTAAATTGCGTTTAATCATCAGAAAATCCTAAAAATCAGGGAAAAGCATTCAGAAATCTCGTTAGAGTGAGCCTATTAAGGAGATGGAAAGACGATATCAAGGACGATGGGACATAAATATGATGGCGGACTTCTGCTGGACGTTAAGGAGAGACATAACTCCAAAAAGAAACAAGCGTAAAAGAAATCCCTTACGCAGATCTTTCGAGGATAAAAGAGTACGTAAACGAGCAAAACACTAAATAAACTATTTACACAAATAAAGTTCCAATTAAGTGGTTTACTTGACGACAAAAGGCCCACTATATCGTCTGCCTCTAGTGTAGCTGGCCTAGGCTACTTGAGTTACTTAACAACAAAAGGCCCACTTGATCGCTTGTTTCGGTTGTAATTGGCTTGGGATAGTTTACTTGAAAATAGAAGGCTCACTTGTTTGCCTGTCTGCGATGTAGTGATCTTGGATGTGGTTTACTTGACAAAGACTCACCCTAATGAGATTTTCTGAATGCTTTTCCCTGGTTCTTAGGATTTTTTGATTATTAAATGCAATTTAAAGAAGATCGATCTCGGAAACCCCCTATTTTGACTTCAGATTTGGATTCAGCACCTCAAAATACGTAAGAAAACATGTTTCCTATTTCGAGTTCAGAACAATTTTTTGTGAGCCTGTGATATATCAATATTTCTCATTTTACGAAAGTGCTTTTACAAAAACATATTTGTCTCTTTCAGTCTCTAAAAGAAAATAACAAACTTTAGAAAATTTAGAATATATATCTGTCTAAAGTTACTCTTTTAAGAATATAAATTTTATGAATATAAATTAATTTAAGACAGATTAAAAATATTAATTTTTAAGAAATAAGAATAAAATTAATTTAAGAAATTAAGTTAATTCTTTAAGGAATATAAATTGTTGCTTGAATATAAGTAGTTAACTTTGATTTTCTTTTTTTAAATATTCTTTTTCAATAAAAATAAATCAAATTATTTTGTCAATCTATTTTACGTAAATGAATTGAGTTTTACAAAACAGAACATTACATAAATAACATTCCCAAACATGACATGCTAAAAAAATAATCTTTTAAACAAAAATAAAAATTAACTTTCTTATTGTGCAAGCAAGCCGTAATTTTTTAATTCACTACATAGTGTCCTCATACGCTAGAAGAAAATAATACTGCCGACGGTCTTTTTTATGTCGCCAGTACATAAAACCGATTATCAATAAGATCAGTACACCTAGCATCAATATAGATGATGCTAGAAATGCTGAAATAAGCAGAGTGTTCATTAAAAAACCTGTGATATCTAAAACTATACATACAAGATTGTTACTGTTAGCAGTTATTCTAAATAGTACAGCCCTGATAGGAAAACATTTACAAAATTATGTGACGAAATCTTGCACTAAAATTGTAATTTGCAATTATACAGATATATTTTAGGAAATAGATGTAAAAACATTGATCTTTTCTGAAATATTTGTAGTTGTTTGCAAAATTACTTTTCAAATACTATTTCGGCAAAAGAATAACGATATGGCAAATCATCTTAGCAGTATATTTGCAAAATTAATTTCACAAAAAAATTGTCCAATAATTGAGAAAATAAATTCAGCTCTGTGATGTTTAAAATATGTAGAAATATAATTGCATATGAAGAAATGCAAGAAATTGTTGTCACTCATGATATCATATTTGTGCAATATTTTCACAATTTGCCTATTGGAGGTATATACTATGAAAATGCATAACGATTCTTTTTCAATTTTTGACAAATATTATTTACAAAATTTTATTATGACAAAACTGTTGCGTTATGGCGAATCATCTTAGTGCGATCATTGCAAAATCGTCGCCATTCATGATGCCATTTTTGTGCAATATTTTCACAAATGTGCCTATTAGGGAGTACAGTATGGAAAGAAAATAATAACTTCACAATTACCGATGATGTCCCTGGAACTTATATCATTCCAACTTACTAAGCATTCTCTATTCCAATCCTCGGGTATGACGTCTTTTGTTAAGTTAATAAACTTATTTAAAGGACATAAGGCAGTACAGCCTGGTAATGTCATAAGTATTGGCTCTTCAGTGCTATTTTTGTAAGATATCTATGGATTAAAAAAAAAAATATCTATGGATTAAAAAAAAAAAAAAAACATTTAGATCACTAATAACTTCACTGCACATAGCAAAAGTGTTAGAAGTATACCGTTACAAAATACTGATTGTTGGAATTTGTCCTTAACTCAATGAGAATTATAGCTGCATAAGGTGGACAGTGAGGCTCGAATAAGTTTAAAGTCATCAACATATTTGCCACAGTCTCATCATGAGCACTATACATCCATATTTTTCTATTAGACTTTAGAGTGTTTTGCAGTTTTTTGACCATATGATCTATCATCTGTCCGAGTAATGGACCTAATATATTTGCAAATTAAATTCTATGCAATCAAAACAAAGTGACAATAAAAGTTTCTTTACACACGAGAAACATTAATAGCTACAAAATTTTACCTGACTTAAATCTCTGTAGTACTTTATTATATGCTTCTGTTGTAAAACTTAGGGCAGCCAAAGGTTTCATCTTTTCTGGAAATACTGACTTTGTCCATTCTGGTAAAGTTTTATTATATAAATTCTGAAGAGCAACATAAGAATAAACTTTATATTAAGTGCTTTATAATTGAGTGAATAAACATAAATAGTAATATATTATTATAAATAAATTTGTGCATAATTGATAGATAATAATATTATTCAAACATACTTCAATGTACAAAATATTGTACAAATATTCCACTTTTTGCAATGAAGAAATTTCTTCTCCTGAATGTTCAGTCAAATAAGCATACAGTTTTGCATTTTTTTTATTTATACGTTTCATTTCTGGCGACGTTAAGACTTTCTCCAATTCGTAGTCATATCGCGGACAGCGTTTACTTGCTCGCAATATATAGTCCAGCTCTATTGGGACAGTGTGTACAGGAATAGGCATCCATTTAATGGTGTCCCAGACTTGATTTTTTACAGGTGGATAAAGTCCTGCTAAATTTGCTTCAGCTGACATCAAAGTACGGTCTACGTCTGTACTTTGGACAAAGATGTCATATGGTGTATAAATATCACTCAGGAGATGAGAATATCGTTTCCTCAACCATCGTCCAAGAAGTAAATGTTGATGTTTCCCAAGCTATATGTTTCAAATATTACATATTAGTAAATATATATATATATATAGACTAAAGCAGTTAAAATTGTTTGGAATTTTTTTTATTACATCCACTTACATTTGTTAATTGACCAAATGGAACTGGCCAACATGTTTCATTATAAGGATCATTTGGATAATTGTGGACAGGAGTTCTATCTCCATGTCTGAACAACTGAAATAAAAACAGAGACATTAATGTTTTAAAAAAAGCAGATCATTATGTCCTTTAAATTAGTATGTCACTAACACACACACAAGATGCGAATAATTTAAGACATATAATTTAAAAAATAACAATTGCATAATAATCATGTGTTTAAGCTGAATGATACATAAATGTCGTACTTACGAGATTCGCAAAAATAATTGTGCTTAAATCGAGATCATCAGTGCTAAAGCAGCTGGTTGCGAAAATACTAGTAAGCACAAGTACACGGATGTTCATCGTTTACGTTTAGAATTGTTCTAAAGAATGACTCCAAAAATCACCTGTTTTGCAGTCCTCAAATTTGAAACTAAATAGTGCTAAATAATAGCTTAAGATAAGACATTGATCAAATTTCACATTAAGCTTACTTTTTGTTTCGGAGATAGGCGGAGTCAAAGTTCTTAAGTTGGGTGCGGAAAAAATACCGACATCGTGACATATCTCACATGGAACTATCTATTAGAACTCACCGATTTTGACGGGACTTTGCATACTTGTAGAACTATAACAAATAATAAACATATTGTTTTATATCGGCAAAGGTGCACTCTACAAAGTAAAACCTACTCTTCAGATGTGAGAGCAGATTTCAGCTAGAATTAATATACAATCTGCGTGATTGAAAAGATAACATGGATTTAAGAGGTTTCTAAAGTCGCTGATTACGAATCCAGGGCTAAAATTTCACAATTCAAAATGGCGGATCCAATATAACGGACAATGACTTTTATAATTATTAATCAATACGCACACAAGAATAATTATTTACACGTTTTTGAGGTCGCTGATTATGACTCTGAACAAAGAACTTCAAAATCCAAAATCGCAGATCCAATATGTTACGACACTGATGAACTGCAACATTTTTTTCTTTTTGGTTTTTGTGCCGTCAGCTCTCTCTGTCTCAATCTGGCTATTTGACACCTTTAACTCTACTCCTTCCCAACTGGAATCCAATCACTAAAAATTGTTGCTTAAAGTTTTTAAAAACTTATTTACATTTTACACTTGCGCATGTCCTGTATTCGACTTTAAGTCTTTCTTATAATTTGTTTCAAAAATCCTAACCCAAACTTATACTAGATTACCTTTTCTATATCGCAAAAAAGTGGAATATATTCTTAAGAGATTAATATTTGAACATGATATTGGGATTTAATATTTGGTTTAAGCTGTGTTTCAGAATTGCTGCCAGCACGATGCTAGTGCTAAAATTGTATAATATAGCAGTGAATTTTGGAACACAGCCTTAATATTTGGTTTTTTCAACCACGACCCTAGAATATATGGATAAGATCAGGGTTGGGCACGTATTATACGTGAGGTATTTTACATTGTATTATACTTGGTATTGTACAGTATAATACATTGCTTAGTTTTATACATATTATACTTCGTGTGGCGCTATCTCTACATCATGTGTATAGTAACTTTTTAAGTCCAACATCCATGATTCATGTTGCTAGAAATCGGTCTGAGATCTTGGTTCGAAAAATGTATAGCCAATCAACTTGCAGTTTTTTAGCGGAAAGCAGCAATTTTAATGACTACGTTAGTCACTTGTGATGGAATTTTGATGGTTAAAGAAACATCATTTCAAAACTGCAAGCAAATTGTAACTTTTGTTAAAGTTATCCAAGGAAAGACCTTTTATTTAAAGTCATGGGATATCTTGTGCAATTTAGAAGAAATAATTATTGAAGCACTACATATAATTAAAACTAAATACTCTATCATGATTTATTCTGTAATCACAGATCAAGATTATCATAAACTAAAAATTAGTAAACAAAATAATTTGTGGTTTTTAAATTGCAACTTATTCTTTGCATTATTATTAGAAAACGTATTATTAAATAAAGATTTTGTAGATAAAGTTCGTTATCTGCTTGTTGAATTCTTAGAGTTGAAAGAAGATTTATTGAAACGTGATGGAGCAACAATTATATTATCGAATACTACCTGTTGTGATAATTTGCATGATATGTATGCATCTTGTAAAAAAATTTAGCAGCTATGAGACAAATCGTCGGCGAAAATGTATATAAATTAAAAAGAACTGTTGTCAGTATACTTTTCGACAAAACATTCCAGCAAGAATTACACGATTNTTTGGACTTGTATGGATCAATACGTTCAATTATAGAGAAATGTGAAAATTCATGTACAACATTTGCAGATATTATTGAAGATTGGTTGACTTTAGAAACATTAAACAACAACCTCACTTATCGAATTAAGGCTAGTATTAATAAAATAATCACTCCAATTGCATTGGCAGCAAACCTTTGTTATCCAAATTATCAAGGAATTTTATGTGTAATGGCTCTTGCAGGATAAAGAAATTTTTGAATTTCTAGTACTTTTCTATTCTAGGCCAATCAACAAGCTTAAAAACTTTGGTGACAAATGTAATTTGCATTTCTACAAACATAATAGTATACTTTGATAAATATTATACGTTTTATACGTATTTTATACGTTTTTTACGTATTTTACCGTAAAAAACTGTAAAATGTAAAAAATTGTAGATAATGCTCGAATAACCCAACCCTGGATAAGATACATTATCTTTCTCAAACCTGTAGTACAATAGCTCTTTCTGTTCGTCATACTGAGGACATCTAAAATCATATGACTCACATTCTCCTCTGCTGCACCGCAGACACACTGGGGTATGTTCCAAAATCTTACCTTGATAACCGAAAACTAGTACACGTGACGTAATATATAGCATTTTAATAACCAAAGTAGGATTTTGGAACGTACCCCTGCGCGCTATCTAGGGTTGCTTTCCAGCAAGAAACACAGACGACACCTTAGACCATATATACTTATAGACACGGCCTGTAGATATGAATCCACGAGTCGAGGTGAAGCAAAGATAATATCATCTACGTGACGTCACATGTGGGCATTTCAGCAATGGCTAAACGCGGCCTCGTAGATGATATTATCTGATCTTCAAGGCGGTTATCTGAAGCCGTCTATAAACGCGCCTTTGCTTTGCCCACATGTGACGTCATGTAGATGATATTATCTTTGCTTCAAGATAGTTGTCTGAAGCCGTGTCTATAAGTATATATGGTCTAAGGACGACACGAAGGCTGCTTTCCTTTTAGGAGACACAGTCGACACAAAAGTCATTCTATCTTCGTTCAGTATTCAGTGAGAGACAAAGACAGAATGACTCTTGTGTCGACTTATGTCGACTGTGGCTGTGTTCCAAATTTACTGCCAGCGCTGTAAGTATGTCGTCATGAAAGCAAACTACCGATATTGTTCCAATTTTGCTAAGCATGCTATCAGCACAAATATGGATTTCAAATTGGAACGATATTTTAGTTCGTATCAGTGCTATAATAGCAGAGAAAATAAACACGAAACATACATAACCTAAAAATATGGAAAACAATATACAAAAAAAATTATTAATCGAAAATTACATTAAAGAATGTGATTCTAGTGAAGAATCAGATTCAGATTCAGATTCAGATCTTCTAGCAGAAGCATTACATAATTGCGAACATACACACCAAGAATAAAAAAAATACATTGTAAGAATTATATCGAAGATGTGGTTTGGCAATATACCGATGCTGATTTTAAAAGTCATTTTCGGTAAGTAATTTATTAAAATATTATTTTTATGTAATTAACAAATAGAAGTTATTAATGATATTTTATATAATATATGTTTTATTTAAATTAAAAGTAAAATGCATAAGTACATATAAGTCTAGAGAGAAAATTACATATATTAAAGTACTGTAAAGAATAACTATGCGTATATATACAGGGTGTCCCAGAATTGCCGTACAATGTCTCGTAGGCAGATAGAAGGAGTAAAACTGAGTCGAAAAGTCCTGAACCATTTTTTTCTATTATTTATAATAAAAGAGTAATTATTGAGTAAATCAGGCTAATCAGCGCAGATCTTT